CTAGTTTTTTGTATTTTTTAGTAGAGACGGGGTTTCACCAGGTTAGCCAGGATGGTCTCGATCTCCTGACCTCGTGATCCGCCCGTCTCGGCCTCAAAGTGCTGGGATTACAGGCTTGAGCCACTGCGCCCGGCCACCTGGCTAATTTTTAAAATGATTTTGTTGAGACAGGGTCTTGCTATGTTGCCTAGGCTTGTCCCAAACTTCAGAGCTCAAGCAATCCTCCTGCATTGGCTTTCTAAAGTCCTGGGATTACAGGTGTGAGCCACCAAGCCTATCCTGATTTAGGAGTTAATTAAATATAAGTGGCCTCTCATTCTCAGGTGCTCTTACAGTATGAAAATGGAAGTTGTAAAGATTGTTTTTAAAGTAACTCAGTGGAATGATAGACAGTGGAGACTCAGAAGGGTGAGGGAGTGAGGGTGGATGATGAGAAATTACTTAATGGGTACCATGTGTGTTATTTGAGTGATTGATACTCTAAAAGCCCTGACTTGTCCATGACACAATCTTGAACATAATGAAATTGCTCTTGTGCCCCATAAATTTACATAAAGAAAAAGTCATGTCATCTGTTAAAAATTTTTAATAAAGTAACTCAGGTAAATTTATGGTATGTCACCATTTCTTGGCAGGACTTTGTGTCATTGTATCAAGATTTTGAAAACTTTTATACAAGGAACCTGTACATGAGAATAAGAGACAACTGGAATCGGCCAATCTGTAGTGTGCCTGGAGCCAGGGTGGACATCATGGAGAGACAGTCTCATGATTATAACTGGTCCTTCAAGTGAGTCTTGGTTGGGAAATTATTTCTTGACAACAACTACAGAAGGGTTTCTTCATTTGAGAAAATATGTTATTGTAAATTGAGTATTCTCTCAAAATAGGAGTAGCAGCTGAGGATACAGTACGATTGGTTTCCTTATTCTTCATTGTTGAGCTTTTAAAGATACATCTTTCTAATACATTTGATACTGTGTTGGATTATAGTTCAGAACAAAATTTGGCTTATTTATGTATGTATGTATGTATGTATATTTTCAGACGGAGTTTTGTTCTGTCGCCCAGGCTGGATGGAGTGCAGTGGTGTGATCTCATCTCACTGCAACCTCCGCCTCCCAGGTTCAAGCAATTCTCATGCCTCAGCCTCCCAAGTAGCTGGGACTACAGGCACACATCATCACACCTGGCTAATTTTTGTATTTTTTTTTAGTAGAGATGGGGTTTTACTATGTTGGCCAGGCTGGTCTCGAATGCCTGACCTCAAGTGATCCGTTCCCCTCAGCCTCCCAAAGTGCTGGGATTACAGGTGTGAGCCACCGCGCCTTTCCTGGCTTATTTATTTTTAAAAATAACTCCTGTTGATAATAAATAGTGTACAAAAGCTTAGTCTGTTTTATTTTTGGTCTTATTTTTTTTTAGAAAAAAAGGAAGAAAAGCTCTCCTTTCCATTATGCCACTTATCAGAATTAAGTATCTGAATTTATTTCTGGATATTTTGATTTTTCAAATGATCAAGGATGATATGTGGA